TAGAATAGAATAGAATAGAATAGAATAGAATAGAATAGAATAGAATAAACAGAGCTGTAAGAGGGACCTTGGAGGTCTTCTAGTCCAACCCTCTGCTCAAGCAGGAGACCCTGCGCCCTTCCGGATAGGTACCCGTGTCCAGTCTCTTCTTAAAAACCTCCAGTGATGGAGCACCCTCGACTTCTGAAGGCAAGGCACCCCCCACTGATATCAAGTTCCTTTCCTGTCCACCTTTTGTCCCTTGACGAACCTCTGCCAAAGTTCTCCAGATCTTTCCAGGACTGTCCCCAGGGCACCTCCTCCACCTGCCCCCAAACTTGGCCCGTCTGGCCAGCTCACCTGGGCTTCCTGGAGCTGCGCGAGTGCCCCGATTTGTAGGAGTACCCCGAATATTGTGATTCGTTGTCCATGTTGTCTGAGCGCCGAGCCTTGTAGCGATCCACGTTGATGGGCTTGGACCCTGGGACAGCCACCAAGGCGGCCGCGGCCTCCTTCAGAGTGGGCTTCTTGAGGCCGAGGGGCACCTTCAGAAAGTCAACTTTCACCTTGAAGGACTCTATTTTGATCGGCTGGCTGGGCACACGCTAGAAGAAAAGAGGCGCACCTGTACGGGAGGAAAGCAGGACAGGTTAGTGCCTCTCATCCTATCCAGCGAAGAGTCCAGAGGACAACTTAAGAGGAGGAAAAGCTGATGGCGAACCTATGGCACGCGTGTCACAGGTAGCATTGCAGAGCCATTTGTGCCGGGGCACTCGAACTGCAGCCAAACTTACCTCACTGAGCATGCGTGGCCCTCACAGCTGATTTTCGTGCGGTTTGAGGCCTTTTTCGCTCTCCCAAAGGCTTGAGGAAGGCTTCTGCAGGCTTCTGCAAGCTTTGCAGGCCGAAAACTAGGCCCGTTTCATCACTTCCCGTTTTCCCGAAAATACCGGAAGTGACGAAACGGGCCTAGTTTTCAACCTGCAAAGCCTTCCTCAAGCCTCTTGGAGGCTGAAAAAGGCCCCCCAAAAGCCGAAAATCAGCTGTGAGGCGCGTGCATGTAAGGGGGCGGCGGCGGGGTGTGTGTGGATGGTGGCACACGAACGCACAATTTTTGGCACAGGAGTCCAAAAAGGTTAGCCACCACTGGATTAGGAGGTAACGTTTGGTTTGAGGTTGCCAGTAGACCAGGGCTCTCCAACCTTGGCAACTTTATGACTGGCGGACTTCAATTCCCAGAATCCCTCAGCCAGCCAGACAGTTTGGAGAGCCCAGATTTGCTGGCTGAGGAAATTCTGGGAGTTGAACTCCACAAATATATAAAGTTGCCAAGGTTGGAGAGCCCTGGAGTAGAACATCTGCAGCTCAAGAAAGGGGAAGCTGCAGCCTTCTGCCCTGAGAAACTAGCTTTCTGCACGCAGGGATTTCTAATGCACGTTTGGTGCACATAATAACTTCACACGTCCTGGAGAATACAGGTAGTTAGAAATAGAGGTACAGATTAAGAGTTGAAAGGGACCTAGTAGGTCATCTAGTCCAACCCCCTGCCCAAGCACAACACCCTACACCATTTTTGATAGAGGGCAGTCCAGTCTGTTCCTGAAAGCTTCCAGCGATGAAGCTCCCACCACCTCTGAAGGCAACTTCTGTTCCACTGGGGGGTGCGAGTCCCCATTTGCGGCTTTCTCAGCTGGCTTCCAACAAGCAACATCAATGCGGAGTCAGATTCATTTAACGACGGTGTGATTCACTTAACAGCTGCAGTGATTTGCTTAGCAAGCAGGGCCAAAAGGTCGTAAAACCAAGCTGAACCACCCCTTCACATAACAACAGAAGTGCTGGCCTCAAACGTGGTGATAGATCGAGGGCTACCTTAGCTGCGTGATGCTGTTTCGTTCCTCCAAAAGCTCTCCCCTGTCAATTCCAGGTGGCCTTTCCTAACCCCACACCTGCTTTTCCAAAGGAAAAAGGGGTTGATTTCCCCAGAATTTCCCTCTTCCAAGGACTCCCGCAGCTCCCTAGACACAGAAGACCTGTCTGTAGGAATACTCAAATCATCCAGGTCATGGTTGTCCCAAAGGGGCTTTTTCCAAAAGGCAGATGGACTCTTCTCTTTTTTTTTTGTTTTCCCTTGAAAAATGTTCCGCTTCTCCCGTTCTTTTTCTTCCTCAGCTTCACTTCAGAATTGAAGAAGCTTCTCGGATGAGAAGCAAAATGTTCTTCCTTCCTTCCTTCCTTCCTTCCCTCTTTCTTTCTTTCTCTCTCTCTCTTCCTTCCTTCCTTCCTTCCCTCCCTCCCTCCCTCTTTCTTTCTCTCTCTCTCCCTCCCTCCCTCCCTCCCTTCCTTCCCTCTTTCTTTCTTCCTTCCTTCCTTCCTTCCTTCCTTCCTTCCTTCCTTCCTTCCTTCCTTCCTTCCTTCCTAATTTTTAATTTTTTCATCAAACAAAAAAAAAAATCCAATGTCTACATAAATAGTGTGTCATCTGGGTAGTTAATTGTAAGAAATAATAATCATAATAGTTAACATTAATACACATAAACATTAATAACTCCACGCCAACACAGAAAGCTCAAACTGCCCAAGGAACTGCTGATCCAGTTCTACAGAGGAATTATTGAGTCTGTCATCTGCACCTCTATAAATGTCTGGTTGGGTTCTGCAACCCAACAGGACAGACACAGACTTCAGAGGGTAATTAGGGCTGCAGAAAAAATTATTACTATCAACCTGCCTTTCATGGAGGACCTGTATGTTGCACGAGTCAAAAAGAGGGCTGGGAAAATATCTGCAGACTCCTCACATCCCGGACATAAACTGTTTCAACTCCTTCCCTCAAAACGACACTGTAGAGCCCTGCACAGCAGAACAACTAGACACAAGTACAGTTTTTTCCCAAACGCCATCACTCTGCTAAACAAATCATTCCCTCCACACTGTCCAACTATTTACAAAGTCTGCACTACAATTACTGTTAATCTTCTCATCACTCCTTATCACCCATCCCCTCCCACTTGTGACTGGATGACTGTAACTTTGTTGCTTGTATCCTAACGATTTATATTGGCTGTTTCCTAGTATGATTTGATCGCTTACTGTACCCTATGACTATCATTAAGTGATGATTATTCTTGACTCTTGACGGATGTCTCTTTTCTTTTATGTACACTGAGAGCATTTGCACCAAGACAAATTAAATTCCTTGTGTGTCCAATTACAGTTGGCCAATAAGGAATTCTATTCTATTCTCTTCTCTTCTGTTCTATTCTATCCATTTCTGCACATTCTAATATTTTTTTTATTACATTTTCCTCTGAAGGGATCTCTTCTGTTTTTCCACTGTTGTGCAAACACAATTCTAACTGCTGTTAACACATGTAAATTTAAAAAAGTATTCCCTTTATTGTATTTCCTCTGGCAAGACACCCAGCGAGAATATTTTTGGCTTTAGATCTAGGTGCTGCTTTACCGATTTTTCCAACCATGTATGTATTTTTGTCCAATTTTTTTATTTTTGATTTTTTTGCTTTTGGGCATGTCCACCGCATACGATAATACGAACCAGGAGGCTGGCTGCACTTCCAATATATAGCAGACGTGTCTTTAAACATCTTTGCCAATCTTGCCGGCGGAAAGTGCCAAAGAAGCTAAACATTTTCAAGTGGGGAAAAAAAACCCAAGGAATTACGGCTGCCTTTTTGGAAAAGCCCATTTCAGACAGCTTTGGAGGACAATTAAGCACCTTTTGAACATCTCCGCCTGTTTGGTGCAGTGAAAAACTGAATTCCTTCAGGGAATGGAGAACTTCTCCAGCAGGTTTCCAGGGCAGGGATCCAGAACACCACGTGGTTGTCTTCACTGGGATCAAGCAGAGATATTCACATGAACCCCCTTGGCTGCCTGGTCACATGTATGCGGTAAAATTTAGTATTTATAAATATGGGAGTGCAAAGACTTTCACACTCCACCCAGGAGAATTTCACCCAAACCCTCTTCTTTTCACAACTAATTTCTGAATTCACTTCTCCAATTGTTCAATTAACTTCTTTTAACGACCCCATCATCCCCTTGCAGAGTAGAGTCCAGGCAACTGAATGGAGCTAGCAGAGTGTTTTAAGGGCCGGATGCCCTTCCTGTCACCAATGTGGAGTTTTGTTCAGCAGATATACTCAGTGTGCCCAGGGAGAGAAATATCTGCCTCTAACCTAGGATCGAACTCACAGCCTCCTGATTTTGAGTCGAGAGCTCCAATTGTCCAATGTGGGAATCTTAATTCCAAAACAAAATAACAACAGAATTAAGGGACCTTGGAGGTCTTCTAATCCAACCCCTGCTCAAGCAAGAGACCCTAGATTGCTGTTATAACAATACTGTTTCCCTGAAAATACGACCTACCCTGAAAGTAAGTCCTAGCCTGATTTTTACACGTGCGCCCAATATAAGCCCTACCTCCCAAAATAAGCCCTAATTAAGATCCCGCCCACTCCGAAGTGCACAGGTAAAAAATAAGCTAGGGTGGAGATGGACAAGTGTAGCCAGGCCTCACACACCCCAACACCTGCCTTGCCGGCCCATTTTTTTCTGCAGCCAGCAAGGCTGGCAAGACTCCCTTGAAGGCCTCTGGAGCTGGATAAGAAAGCTTTGGATCGATCCAGAGCTCTGTTACCGGTTGCAGAGGCCTTCAGAAAAGCCTTGCTGGACAAGAAGTAGTAGTTCCTGAAGGCCTCTGACAGCTAAAAGAAAGCCAGGGGCAAATGCACACAGGTGAGATTAGTCAGTGGAAGAACTTCACCCCAAAAATAAGACCTGGTGCCTTTTTGGGTAGCAAAAAAAAAATTAGTAAGACAGGGCCTTATTTTGGGGGGAACACAGTAGCCACAGCACTACATATTAAGGCATATTACATATTAAACAAATTCCCTGCACGCTTTCATTCTTGTTTATCCTAGCAGAGAAGTTACACTCTGGTTCAAACATGAGCATAGACTCAGGGCAAGTGTTGTCCAGCCACAAGGACCAACCGGCCACCTTCCCGGTGGAAGAGAGGACCTGCCTTGGTGGTGGAAGAGGACAAGGAGGGGACCAAGCAAGAGGCAGAAAACATCCTGGCCAGGATTTGGCTAGGAGAAAGTTCTGGGTGCCAAAATTTCACCCAGAACTCCACGCACACATCCCCACTCCTTGGAGATCTCTCCAGGGAGAGAACCACTAAGCATAGCTGACGTGCTCCTGAAGGATCTCCTCTCCTCCATGTTCAGTGCCTGAGAGCAAGAGAGGGAGAAGCCAACTGGGGAGATGGTTCCCCTCCTGCTCCTCTTCATGCAAGGCTGGAGCTCACTCTGCTTCAGGGCGCCAGGAGTCTGTCAGAACAAGTTGGACACAACCGCTCCGGAAAGAAGCTGACATGGCAAAACGCTCCAATCCTTCCCCCCAAGGGAAAGTCCCAGATCCGGTTCTCCTGGGGGGGAGAAGGGGAAGAGGTTGAGGGGCAGGGCAAATTCTTGGCACCACCAAGTCCCGGGCGAAGGTGCCTTCGAGACTGCCAAGGGGAGATCCAGCAGGGTCCCCCCTCCATTTCTCCTCCATTAAAGCACTGTCTAGATACGGCGCTTGGGAGATTTCAGCGCC